CGTTGCCAGTATTGAAGCCTGTTCAGAGTGCTCACTGTACTTCCCCTGCAGAGGAGGGGGTGAGGGGGTACCAAGAGGCCTAGACTGCCTCCCCAGGGGGGGTCCCTGCACATGGAAGCTAACACTGGAAGTGGGAGTTGAGTAACCCTTGCCAGGAACAGCCCTCTGAACTGCACTCTTCATTTAATTCCCCCTTCCTCACTGGACCACAGAGTCCTTGAAGCACCCAGCATGGCCCAGCAGACAGGGAGTGTTCAGAAAGAAGAGGAATGAATGAACTCGCATCTTCTAACTTTTTTTTAAATTTTTAAAAAAAAATTTTAATGTTTATTTAATGCCAGTACTTTTTAAAGGAGCACCTTTCAAAAGCAGAGAAGGATGCCTTTTCTTACCATCCTCCCAGCACCCCAAACCAAGCCTTTATCATGCTTTCCAAGTCCTGTCCCTTTTCTGTACCACAGCAGGTTAGACAAGAGGCAAGGTATTGCCAGAGAATTCAGGAAACATTTTACCCCAGGCCGTGCTGTTGCTCCCACCCTGCCCAGGCCAACCCCCATGGCTGTGAATAGGTGAAGGGAGCTGTGAGAGTGCTGTGTGGGAAGGCGCAGCCTCCAGCCGCAGTCCTGCTGCCCCATCTGTGATGAATGACAATGCTTGGTGCACCACCTTGGTGAGAATCACTGACGGCAGCCTTGTGAAGTCACATTGGAAAATGGGAAGTACTTTATTTTGTGGGTATGGAAAGTACCTTGTGCTAGAGGAAATTCATGGCAGTGAAGTGGTAAAGGATCACCCAGACCCCACCAGGCTGACAGAGGAGGAAAGTGGTGCCTCTATACGTGCTCACTGGTGGTATCCCAGATGTTTGCTTGTATGGTAAAATTGAAAGGTGTGTCCCACTGGGTGCTAGAGTCCCACACTGCCCACAAAAGCTTGTAGTATTCATTGTGTAATAATAATATAATAGTATTTACTAAATATCTACTCAATTGTAAGACTGTACTACCCATGTTAAATCTATTATCTCAGTTCTTTCCAATAACTTCATCAAAGGAGAATTGTCCGCCTTTATACCAGTAGAGAAACTGAGATTTATCAAGATCGAATTACTTGCCCAAGGTCACATAGCTAGTGAGTGCTGGAGCCAGCCCACAGTCAGAGCTCATAAACTCCACACTGTACTGTCTTGCAGAGGGTCAGGGTTACCATGAGGCTGCAGGGATGGGGAGTTTGGAGGGACTGCATATCTTTTGTCAAGGTTATTTGTAAAGTCACCTGCCTCCAGGCCATCCTAACCCAGAGAGAGGAGCGGCCTCCATCATATTCCCAGCTCTTTCTGAGCTCCAGAGTAAAGATCACTGCCAGCCTAGAGATGCCAGTCTTGTCTTCCGAGATTCTGGGTGAATGAAGTGAGCAGGATCCTGAGGGGCTGAGGCATGGGATTCTCTAGGGCGCTACCATTAGCATTGGAAGCCCTGGGCTCTAGGCCACTAGTGTATTGGGGTTAACAAACCAGCAATGGCTGGCTGTCTGCAGGGGCTCAAAGTGGATATTTTTTGAGAAATGTTTCAGCCTAACAAAAGACCGGACAGCTATAGTCACTCAGGATTTCATAAATGTATGAGAACACTTGAAAAGTACAAATACCAGGATGAGCATTTGGATATTAAATGTAGGGAGATCCTTTTTATGTCATTTTTGCCCACACCTACTTCTACAGATTTTCTAAATGGAAGACTAGGAAAACAAGAGACTTAAGTTCCAAATAGAGAAGAAAAACTAAGCAAGAGTTAGGTTTGGTGAATTATCAAGGTGCTACTGTTCACCTTTGGGACTTGTTACTGCTCTGTGCCACTAATTCTCTCTGGATGAAATTCTGTCTCTGTCAGAATCATCTTTTGAGGAAATTGGTTCTGTCATTGACTTTCCAATGTCTACCCCTTTTCCCCAGTAGGTCTGTCCTAAACCTGTTCCCCTCTCTACCCCAGCTCTGGCTGCCCAGACCATTGGGTATCAAGATCATTATTATCCATTGTACATTTATTTATTGAGTGTCAATCAGGCACTGCACTAAGCCCCTGACCTTCATCGTCTTATTTGTCCTCACACCAGAGGAGGGCTATCATTAGGCCACCATTCCCTGACTCCACCACACACCCATATCAGCTCTATCTTCTTCCTGGCCCTTATAACCCTTAACTAAAAGGGATATTAGTCTCTGCTTCACTGTGTTCCGGTCCCAGCTATATAACACTGGAATAGCACACATCTTAGGGCATTGTGATTATTGGTCCATATGTGTACCATTCTTCCATTCAACTCATGTTTTTTGGGTACCTCCTGTATGTTGTCTGTTGTCCCCACTGGACTTGGAAATCCTTTATGGCAAGAGACCACTCCATATTCTTTCTTGTAGTGCATCCCCGGCACACAGCACTGTGCCTGGTTCATAGTAGATCCTTGGGAAATGTTTGCCAAGAGAAAGCTTCCAGGTGACGTCTAGTCTTAGAACAGTCTTCTTTCAGTCCTTCCAACCCCAGACACTGGGAAATAGGAAACCTTCCCTTAGCTCTTACCTTAGTAGGGAAACACAGCTATGCTTCTAGATGCTTAACTCTTGGTGATCCCCCTAAGTGGAAGAATCCAAGCTGCAGTTAACCCCAGAGTCATTAATGCCCACATCATTCATTGTGTTCTATGGGTATGTTCACTTATTCTTTCACTAGATGTTGAGCATTCTGCAGGTATCAGGCTCTGTGCTGGGAGCTAGAGCCACTAAGATGAATAAGATACACACACACACACACACACACACACACACCACACACACACACACACACACACACACACACACAAAACCCATGACCTCAAGGAGATCAGCAGACTTGACAGAGAGATGGTGAATCAAGGTCAGAATGGGTTAAGTACCGTGGGTACAGTTCACTGAAGAACACTGCTAGGGGGCTTTTTAGGAGGAGATAAATGGGGGAAAGCTGTCTAGAGAAGATGGCATTGGATATGGGCCTTAAAGAAAAATAGAATTAGGGCTGACAAAGTAGGTGGGAAAATTTCCCCCACAAGACAAAGAAGTAAGAGGGTGTGTTTTGCGGGAGCACAAATGTCATTCAGGTAGTTAATTTGTCAATAATTGGCAGGGGTGAGACGGGGTAACTCTCATTTTTATGAATGTATCACTACAATGTTTTTATTTCCTTGTCCCTACTGTTCCCTTCTCATGTCTAAAAAATAGTTCTGCTAGATTATAATCTGAAAGACCTTGTTCTGTAAAGGATGGGGGTAGGGGAGCCTTGAGTGGCATGGTGCTCTGTCCAAGCAGTCCCCATGAGATTCTTGGTCCTTCAGCCCCCACCCCCCAGGGACTCCACGTAAAGGTCTCTTTGCCTGTCAGCCCTATGCTGGAAAAGAGCCTACAGAGGCCACCCCTGAGTTTCTAGAAGAGGTAGATGTTGCAGATAGGCTGCCTTGCTCCATCAGCAGGAGGAAACCAGCGAGGCAGATTAGTCACTCACATCATTTTATCTGTTGAGTCAACATCTATTTTTAGATGTAGAACCCATAAAGGTACCCAGCATCTCTGTCATGGAAAGGGAGAGAGTGCCAAGGGTGAGGGGGTCTGCTCATCCTTCATTCCTCTTTGCTCAGTCCACTGCCAGACCCTTTCTCAGATGCAAGGTCTCCTTCACTGCTGCCAAGGGTTCAGTTTAACATGTACAATTTCTTTTATACACATGCTTTTGTGGGTGCACTACACACATGCACGCACGCATGCACATGCACACTCACTCACCCCCAGAGTCTTAGCAGATCCTGTAAATTGGTTATATGGATTAAATAAGACTCCCAACTGAAAAATGCTAAGGCATATAGGTCCCTTCCTGTCCAACATTGTCAGATGTGCTCTGAAATGACTGTTTTCATCATCTATTCTGAGCCATAACCGCCCCAGAAATAGCTTTAGCAGGAAAGTGCTTTTGTTAGACTAGCTGTAAATTATATTTCAAATGTCTGATGTTGTTTTCTTAAAAAATAAATAAATAAGTAAATGAAAGTCTAAAATTAATGACTGCTGGGGTTTGCTTTGCTTATGTGTACTGCTACAGATTTGGCTTCTTGCAGATGGAATTTCAGATCTGTTTACACTTCTGTGTTAGCTTTTTGGGGGAAAAAAAGCAGTTGAGAGATCTGGGAGGACAAATTTACAAAGTCGAACTTATTATAACCATCCGCGAGGCTCGCTTCCTTCTTCCATTGCCCTCTCCCTCCCTCCTTTCCCTTCTGCCCTCCTTTCCTTGATTGTGGTTTTATCTGCTCCTCCTCAGCATTAGAAGGCACCCAGTTCTTGCAGATGTTATGACAAGGTCACGTATCCAGTTTCACGAGCAGATGTTCATGAAGCCCCATTTCACAGCACTTTGTCATTCAGCGAGAGCAGACCTTGTGGGAGCAGATTGGAACAACACAAAGGATGGGACAGAAAAAAATCTTGCCCAGAACCTGATCCCTTTAATATGTTGAAGACTAAGGACTTGGGGGTGGGGAGGGTGGCAAGGAGAAAAATCTGCAGAGCAGAATTTCATGGAGGGTTTTTTTTTTTTTTTGGTTTATTCAAAGATTATTATGTGTTGGATACAGTAAATCATCTATACACCCACATCCAGGAGGTAAATCTTCAGAGCTCCATGCGTGGGTCGTTCTGCATTTAACAGCTGCCATACAGTAGCTATTTTGTTCTGCACTTAGAGACCCTTATCTGTGCATTTGTTTTAAGTTTTCGTCAATTCTCCTTTTGTTCCTCTGTTGCCGTTCTCCTGATTCATATTACGATTACAAGAGTAGCTAAGAATCTGAACTACTGAGCTATTTCAACTGACACCATGAGTTCCAATGATAGACGAGGGGCTGTCATCTCAGTTGTTGACTCAGTCTCTACTCAGAGGGTGTTACCTATAATGGATTTAGCTCCTCTTGCCTTTTCCTAGGTCTCATATGCCCGTCCGAGCTCTGCCTCAATCAGGGATGCTAACCTCTACGTTAGCGGCCTTCCCAAAACCATGACCCAGAAGGAGCTGGAGCAGCTTTTCTCGCAATATGGCCGTATCATCACCTCTCGAATCCTGGTTGATCAAGTCACAGGTTAAGTGTTTCTTTGTCATTTCTTTCCTTGTGTCTCAGTGCCACAGCCAGCGCCCTGTGACCCATAGGAGCAGAGAGATAATGGTTACATAGGGTAAAAGATATGGGTCATGCACAGACAGATTTTTGACATAAGAGAAAGACTTCTTATCAGTCAAATGCCCATATTTAAAATGGGCCATCTTAGGAGGTAGATCGCCCATCATGGGAACTGTTCCAGCAGCAGCTAAACTACTTGGCAGGGCTGTAAAGAGGATTCAGGCATCAGGTTGTGTGTGGGACTGAATGACCTTCAAAGTCTCTTTCAACCCTTGAGCAAGTAACATTACTTTTGTGTGTGAAAAGAACCTGTGTTAGGGCTCCGGCTCCAATGATAGCATTATAGACTAGAAGGAACCTCATGCTGCCTCATTTCACACGTGAAAAAAGAGAGATCCTAAGTGGGGGATCTGACTTCTGCCCAGCTAGTTAGTGGCAGTGCAGGGACATGAACCCAGGGCCCGGTACTGTGGTATTTGTCCATAATAAAGAAAGGCATCCACCACCTCTCAGTAAGAAATGTAAGGTACCTTGGGTTGCATTTTTAAGGACAAAATGTTTTCACCTACTCTCCATTTGATCCCATTTTAAAACACCCCCTGAGAGTAGGTCAGCACATGTTTATCATTCAACTCATGCAGTAGACCCTTACTGAAGCCAGCTCTGCCCCCAGACACTATGCAGAGGTACAGTGGGGACCGGGGATGAAGGAGGCACAGCCCTGCCCTTGCAGTACTCCATTATGATGAGCACTTGCTAGAGGCTGTCCAGTGTACCACAGGAGCTCAGGAGAAGGTGTGCTATGCCTGGGGAGATTGCTGTGAAGGGACCATGAAGGAGGTGATGTTTGAGCAGGATTTTGGAGGATGACTTGAAATTATCTGGCACAAAGAGGGATAGAGAATTCTAGGTGAATATGATGTATCCTATAGAATTGGTGGATAGGACATATCGTGAGGCATGGAGTCGAGGAAGAGCACAACCTGCTCAAGGAGTATGTGGTGGTTTGAGGCTTACCGGGATTTGGGACCACATCATCAGGGGCACTAAATGCCATGCTAAGAAAGTCTATCTCCATCTGTATGCAACATGGAGCCACAGGAGGATTTTTGTGTGGGTTTTGTTTGTTATTCTGTATGTGGAGTGGGAGGCAATGAGGAACAGGTACCATGCACAAGGTAAAAATTTGAAAAGTTACAAAAAATGTATAAAAGATGCTTTTAAAGGGTGTAATGTGGTCAGAGTTTGTTTGTCAAACAGATTACATGGTTGCTAGGTGCAGAGGGCCCATTGGAGGACTAGAAACAGGACAGTGGGTGATGGGTAATAGCAACTAGAGGGAGAGGAGAACTGAGCAGTCCAGTGGTAGAGGCTGGAATGGACAGATGTGAGAGGTGCCTGTGTTCTCTGGGTGGGAGGCACCTGTCTAGAGCCATGATGGCAGAAATGCAGGCAGATGCATTTTGATGGATGAGAAAGATTCTGGGATTCACAGCCCTGACCCCACAAGTGGGCCGACTCCCCACAGAAGATCCATGGGGCCCGGCCCATCTCTTCCCGGAGATATTTACCAGTGTGCTTTTTTCACTCTTTATGAAGGCTCTTTCTCTTTCCCCAGGAGTGTCCAGAGGGGTGGGATTCATTCGGTTTGATAAGAGAATCGAGGCAGAAGAAGCCATCAAAGGGCTGAATGGCCAGAAGCCCAGCGGTGCTACCGAACCGATTACTGTGAAGTTTGCCAACAACCCAAGCCAGAAGTCCAGCCAGGCCCTACTCTCCCAGCTCTACCAGTCCCCCAACCGGCGCTACCCTGGCCCGCTTCACCACCAGGCCCAGAGGTTCAGGTAGGCATACCCGTGGGGGAAAGAACCCTACTCCACGAATACAGAGTGGGGTGGGGGCCAGGGAAACCCACATCCCAGAAAGATGGGGCAAGTGTAAGAACCTCCACCCCCAGGAGCCACTGTGTGAAGCTCCCTACTGAACCTCAGTCTCCACTACTGTTAAATGGGATGGTCTGACCAGATGCTCTTCCAAGCCCCCTTTCAACTTACGACCGTGGCTGTGGTTAAACTTCAGATTCTTAGATTAAAACACAACGTCTACATTTCACCAAACAAGAAGGTTCTGTTTCAACAAGAGTTAAATCACAAATAAGTGACCAAATTCAGCAGCTTAGACTTAAGGCTGAGGGAGTGGCTTTTAACAAAGTCAAAGAAAAGTGTAGGCCAGGAGACAGAACCTTGCCAAGGTGGGTGGTTTGGTCTCCCCCTCTTTCTTCTTCAGGTAACTCTGTTGGGTTAGGGAAGGAACATGTGCTCCCTTTTGTGTTAATTTCACTCTGACTGTTAAGTGAGTAGATTCTGGGATGACAAGAAGGAAGATTTTGTATGAGCCTTATTAGTGTTTCCTTCAGGTACCAAACCCTCCCAGTGCAATGGGGCACTCCCCTTCTCCTGGGACATTTCTGAAAGGCAGGTTTCACTCTGTGAAGGTAGTCTGACCTCAACTGCCTTTATTGTACACAAGTTAAGAATATTCCTGACCTACCTGTAAGAATTCTAAATAATGATTTTATTCCACCCATGTCCCAACTTCCCTTTAATGAAAGAGTTTTTCTCCTTTTCACACATCACATGGGAAGGAAGTAGGCCCTCCCATCTGGCTGTGAAGAGGAGGAAAATCAGCCTTAGTAGTGCCCTCCTGTGCCCTGGGAATTTGAAATGGTTAATGACTTCATGAGGAGTCCAAGTCATCTAATTTTTATTTTGTGTGAGAACACATGCAGTATTTATGTAAAAAGCCTTTCCAGCAGGCTTCTAATGGTGGAAACTATGGTTACTACTGCCCCATGGTGTGAATAGCTTGTCCCCAAGTAAAATACTGACCATGAGGGAGATTATAACATAATGGCAGTTTGCTGGGAGGAGCTTTCAGGTTGTAAATAGTAAGCTCATTGTAAAAAATCTTAACCCCCAAACTCCTCCTTCCCCCGCAAAAAATGTGTGTGGTAAGAAGATTTAGTTAATGTAGCTAGACTAAGAGAAAAGATTTATTCTGATAATGCATTGTGCATGCACGTGTATTCCTTTTATTCACAAGTTTAATTGCAATAAAAGGTGAATTGTAATAAAAGGTGAACAACTTAAGAAGCTGCCCCCTTCTAACAGTCTCACACACAATATAAAATGAAATCCACACAAATGTTCTAAGAGGAGGGGGGAGTGGGATTAATTCAGACCTTGAAAGAAAAGGAGCTTCATTAGACACTTGCTTTAAAATCCAGCATTGACCTGAACACGGATTACTCATAGTTGAAGGCAGAAAAGGGGGAAACGACCAATGGATAGACTTCTAAGCATTGGGGAAAGTTGTCGAGCTTTTCTTCTTTGAAAATGGAGCATTCTTATTAATAGTTCCATTGAGCGATCTTGCCATCTGTGAGGCATTAACCCAGAGACCCTCCTTCTCTTTGCAGGCTGGACAATTTGCTTAATATGGCCTATGGCGTAAAGAGGTAATTAAAACTCCACAGATTGCCAGATGTCCGTGTTGGCACAGACTGGGGCTAGAAATTTTTTTTTAATTCACTAACTTTATTTTTTTTAATTCTTCCTTTTTCCTCCACCAGCATGTCAAATTCTTAATTTTAATTTCAGACCTCAGTTGGTTTTATTTCTTTTAGGGCACACAAAGAGTGTTTGTGTGTTTCACTTTTTCTTTTATTTGCAGGTGGGCTTCTCCTATGGTTCAGGTGCCACAGCTACCAAGCTCTTGATAATCTGGTTCTCTGGACGGCTCCCCTAAGGGAGAAGGCTCCTACTCTTCACCAGCTGACTTTGCAAACTTGCAGAGCAACTGTTTTGCATTAGCAATGCCAAGATTCAGTTAAGAGGGCAGATTCCAGCAAATCAAAATTAGAACATTTTGCTAATCACAGTTGACAATCTTAGGATTGTCAGTGGAAAAATTAGATTTTGGACTACCAGCCCTGGCCAAAGCATGAATAAACGTGTGAACAACCGGCTGGCTTCCACCTTCAGCTCAGTGTGCGTTTCAGGGCACAGCCTGAGAATGAAGTGTATCTGTGTGCACCTCAACCAGGGGTTTCTTTTGTTACAGGTTTTAACGGTTATTATAAATCCTTCCTTGGTTATACATGTATGTATGTTTTATACTTGCAGTTTCTTTCATTTAGAGCCTTTCTGTGGGGTTGGGGGCTCAAATAGAATCAAGCTTTGTGGGGGTTCTCTGAATACAGTCACAAGAGTGATCCAGACCTAGTCTGAAAGCTGAATCTCGGGAAGTTGAGTCCGTTATGTCACTGTGTCCATGAGATTCCCATATGTGCTTTTGATAAGCTCCACTGAGCTGCTAGGGACATAGCATCTTCATCATCCTGCTCAGTAGAGCTGCACACTTTAATTCCCCTTCCTACAGTCAGGGAAAGAGATGTGGTCTTTAGTAGTCCCAGTCACATCCCCTGTATGAGGCAGCGCTTTCACCACTTGGCCATGTGTGGTAAGTACCCTGACTCTGGAAAATGCACACAGTAAAGGGAATGACTTGACTGCAGACTTCACTTTGAGAGCACCAGCCTCTCGAATCTCAGCCCTGGCACCAGTGAGGATAACTGTGGATTACTTCCACATGCCTGGCACACTGCTTACCTGTTCCCACTCCCACTTTTGCATTTTTCCCACTCTGCCCTTTGCTCCCCTCTAACTTCAGTGAGGCGGCAGCAGTTAGCAGTTATGGAAAGAGTAGTGCTCATGCACAGACGAGGCCAGGGAAGGCACCCAGTTGCAGCATGCATACCGCCACCTCCTCTGCTTCCCCACTCAGAGCACATGTCACTAGTGGATAAGAGCATTCTCCTTTCCAGTAAGCCCAGATTTGGATTCAGGCTCCTTCCTACCAAAATGCTCCAGGTAGCCATTTTCCAAATAGAGTTGAGACTCCTCTTGAAACCTCTTTGCTGGCTCCTGACTTTGGCCTTAAAGTAATTACTTATAGCTGTTCTCTACCTTTAAACTGAGAGGAGTCAATTCACTCAGTTGGAGGAGAGAAGGTTGAGAAGACTGTCTCCAGAAATAATGCAAACAATAGATAGGCATTTGCCCTTCTAAGAATCCTTACCATGATGTTTTTTGGTTTTGTTTTGTTATTTCTGTTTTTTATGTCTATTTGTTTGTTTTGAGAGAGAGAGAAAGAGAGAGAGAGAGCGGGGAAGGGAAGGGAGAGGGGGAGACAGAGAATCCCAAGCAGGCTCCACGCTGCCAGCACAGAGCCTGATATAGGGCTCAAACTCACAAACTGTGAGATCATGACCTGAATCAAAATCAAGAGTTGGAGGCTTAACTGACTGAGCCACCCAGGTGCCCCTTATTACTTGTTTTTAATCAAGAGGGAAGATTGACGTGGTGAATAATGCCAAAATTAAAATGTATTGAGTTGTTATGGTTAGCATGTCTGCAGCAGCCATTTGATTGTCTAAATTCTGGTTAGATGCAGAACTGTTCTTCCATAGGACTTTTAAATATCCAAGAACATTTGCTTATTGTCAAAACATTCTAGGTAACACTTTACCCCATTCTCATCCCATTTTTGCTTCCTCTTCCCATCCTCCTTTTCAGAAAACAAAAACAAAAACAAAAAACCCAACCACATGAAAACCAAGACACTAGTCAATGGATATGGACAAAACTTCTGTATATGTTTAGTATAAAACAAAAAGTTAACAAATATTTTTCTGCTGGAGGCACTGGTAACATAATCTGATGTATCCACTATGAATCACACAGGATATATTTTATCAGACAGTGAATAAAATCTGACAGGTTGTTTTTCTTTTCATGATAACATGAAAACTGAGATTTCAAAGGCTAATACAAAAGAAGTTATAATAGGGCAAGTAACAGTTTTCTGCTTTTCTAATTCAAGTTATATAAATGCACAAACCACTTGAAATCTTGCTCCTGTAATGCTTAGAAATTAAATCCAGATAATACAGCATCAAGGAGTGATCTGTCTTTAATATTATTGCTTGGGCTTTTTTTGGCGGGGGGGGGAACTCTTTTAAATAAATGCTAAATGAAACATGAGCCACCCATGTGATTAATAACAAGGCATGCCTGTCCTTTCTCACAGATCTCTGTCCTCAAAATATCAAGAGATCTTTGACAAGCATAAGTCAGGGGACTGCAAAGATGGTAGACTTGAGAACGCCTCAGGCCATCCCCTAATCTGCCTTAAAAATTAAAAAAAAAAAAATTCCCAAGCATTGATTCCACCAGTGTTATTCACTTATGCAGTTAAAAAGTACTTATTATTTTCTATGTGTCCCTTTGTCTGTGATAGGCCTACATGTGCCTCAGTGAACAAATAAGTAGAGCGACAGAATGAATGAAGTAGAGTCCCTCCCCCAAGAGCTCACTGTCTATTGTGGGAGGGAGGATGAGGGTCCGGGTGGGATATCCTATGACCAAATACTATGGTAGAGTCTTGCTCTAGGAGTTGACCTAGCCTTTCTCTTGGCATTTATGTCCCTTAGCCAGTTTAGCCATTCCATTCAGAAGAAATACCACAGACATTGGTTGTTGCATTTTGGTTTTTGAACCTTGAAGACTCCTGCAAACACTCACTCAGCCCTCTGCCCCATGTCTGTGTCTGTGCATCTGTGTGTTATCCATGGTCAGACTGATGTCTGGACCAGTCCCCCCTTCTGCCTGTCCCCCCAGGTTCTCCCCAATCACCATTGATGGGATGACAAGCCTTGTGGGAATGAACATCCCTGGTCACACAGGAACAGGCTGGTGCATCTTTGTCTACAACCTATCCCCTGACTCCGACGAGAGTGTCCTCTGGCAGCTCTTCGGCCCCTTCGGCGCAGTGAACAACGTCAAGGTCATCCGCGACTTCAACACCAACAAGTGCAAGGGATTTGGCTTTGTCACCATGACCAACTATGACGAGGCGGCCATGGCCATTGCCAGCCTCAACGGGTACCGCCTAGGAGACCGAGTGTTGCAAGTTTCCTTTAAAACCAACAAAGCCCACAAGTCCTGAATTTCCCATCCTTACTTATTAAAATATATATATAAATATATACGAACAAAACACGTGCGCGCACACACACACACACACACACACATACACACACACACACACACACACACACACACACACACAAAAGAGAGAGAAACAAACTTTTCGAGGCTTATATTCAACCATGGACTTTATAAGCCAGTGTTGCCTAAGTATTAAAACATTGGATTATCCTGAGGTGTACCAGGAAAGGATTTTATAATGCTTAGAAAAAAAGAAAAAAAAACAAAAAAATACCTTTGATGCATTGAATGTTCTTTCATAGCTGTCGTTGTTGAATATAATATACATAGATAGCGATGTGCAGGGATTTTAACCCAGCCAGCTAACTTTACTACCTTCCTTGAAGGTGGGTCTTTTTAAGATGACCATTCGCTCATTTGAAGAAGAAAAACAAAAAACAAAAAAAAAATAATAAAAATAAAACAATTTTTACAAAGTAATGGGATTCAAAGAAAGAAAAAAAAAGATTTTTCTTTTTTGTCGAAAAGTTGATCCAATCAGATTGGTAAAAAACCCCCACACAAATTAAAGAGGAATAATAAAAATTGCAAAAATGAAAAAAAATTTTGCAAATTTTTTTATTTTTCCTTTTTTCTTTTATATCATGTGAACTAAAAACAGTCTTCTGTTAGGGGATGGGGGCAAGGGGGATACCTGATGACATTAACAATTTAATAACATTAACATTGTTGCCAAAGAGGTGGTCTCTTTGCTGAAAATGGGTTTCAAGAAAAATCTATTTTTATAAAATATAAAGAATTTTTACAAGAGAATCTGGATTTGAGAAAAAAATATTTTGACTGGCTAATTTAGGGGAAATTGACAACTTTGTCGCGTTCATACTGCACTGGTAACTTTTTAGAGATCAAGATGTGTGTTTTAAACTGGATTCGTAGACTGTTTTTTGAAGGATGGGCTATAAACAGATGATCTTCATATCTTTTCATAGCATGTAATAATAATAAAAAAAAAAACAATTATTAATTACTAGGGGAAAGGAGTGTTCGTTCTACCCAGGGTACCACAGTTCCCCACAGTCAAAACCCAAAAGCAAGGAGATGAGTTGAAAGACAGTTTTTCTTTAAGTCATCAGTATGGGATGTCAGCAGAACAAAAATTAAAAAGATTAATTTTCCTTTGATCTAAAACTTCCTTAGTTTGAGCAGTAGGTGCTACGAAATTATTTACATATCTTAGTATCATAGTTAAATGTAATGTGTTTAGGAGAGGAAAACAAAAGATACATTTGCTTTAAATTCATTAAGGAATTTTCAAATTCACTTTGTAGCCCATGCTGGTAGAATTGGGCTGTGTTGGTACATTTGAAACACTGTTTATGTTGCTTGAAACACTTATTTATTTAATCGCCGATGTGATGATGCCTATGGCCGAGATCAAATATAGCTAGATTGGCTAGACTACTTATTTGTTTACTTAAACTATGGGAAGAAGCATATTATTGTGTCATTCTGTTGTGTGTGTATGTGTATATACAATATAAATATATATATATAAAGTTATTTTTTCTTTGGGTTAATTTATTATAAGTTGTAACACTTGGCTAGTTCTGTTTGTATATGTCTTAAAATGTTTTCTTATGATATTTAAGTGACAGTTAAAGAGGTATCAAGGTAACTTGTGTAGATCTATTGTTTGATATATTGTCATGTTTGTTGTGAATATTTTTTCTTACTGCACAGTAGAAAAATAAAAACAACTGGGTCTTTATTTTAATGTAATTCAGATTGGGGAAAAAAAACAGAGCTAAGGGAACAAAATGACTGAGGGAGCATTCTCCCACGTCCAGTGCACTGATCATTTTAGTATGTTTGTGCTTTGTACGGTTATATATTTAAAACAAAAACAAAACAAAAAAATACAAGGGTTCATGCTCTTCCCTGGGTAATAGAAACAGTTACTCGCTATGCATAATCTAGTTGATAGTTAAATTTGCTATTGCTTTTCTTGTCTTGTTATATAAAATCTTTTCAATACAAGTTTAGTCTTAATGGTAATAAAACGTTATGGTTATTTATAACTTGTGCTTATTTTGTGCGTTTTTTCCCATGCTGAACCCACTAAGTGCATGTAGACAGAACTGTTGTTTTCACACCGAAGAGGCAAACTTTGTAGTAGTAGTCGTAGTGGTAGACAGATAACGAAAACCAAGGCTGCATCATAGACTCCTCCTTTAAATTTTTTTTCTGTTTTTTTTTCCTCTTTTCGGTTTTGAAAAAAAAAAAACAACACCAGATTTCAGTTCAGAGAACACTCGTTCAACATTCAGGGAAAACTTTTTACATCACCTGCTATGAATGAACGCAGTTTGCTGGCAAAGTTTTGATGCATTTGCTAAGCATTAGTGGGAAAGGCGTGCCAAAATCTCTTCTCTATATAATGTGTTCACTCTTGGGGGAAAAAAAAAGGAAAAAAAATCTTAGGACCAGGCAGTTGTATACTTTAGTTAAAATGAATGACTTCATGTTAATCTTGCTAGTTTAGATGATTTCTGAGGGAAAGTATTGTAAATGTTTTTTTTTCATAATCTTGTTGTGTTTGAATTATTTGTACTTTATCTGTCCAGACAATAAATGAAAGTGTGTAGAATGGATTTGAGCTTCCCAGATTTTTAAATGTGTTCATTCAAACTTTTTTTTGTAGCATCTTCAGATTTCCCCAGTAATTTTATCATTAAACACACACCCAAAAAAATGGTAGAGTAAAATTGCATTTTGCAACTTAGCCCAGTCTCTCAAAGTCAATTTGGTATTCAAAAGTCATTGCCCTAGTTCCATACAACTAAAAGTGTGGGCTCCAGCCGGCAGTATCTGCATCATCTGGGAGCTTATTAAAATGCAGAATCTTGGGCTGAATGCAAATCTATATTTAACCAGATCCCCAGGTGAATCACTGGTACTTTAAAGTGAGGAACACTGCCCTGATTGATAACAAGCTGGTACATTTGGCATTATGTTTGGCATTATGAGACATTAGTGTCTGTTTTTCATTAATAAGCATATTTGTGACTTGTTCAGAAGAAAGGAAGTCTGTTTGGAGAGCACCTATTGTCAGGCTGTGTTGTGTTCTCTATATTCTCTCGCTTTGTCCTCCAGCAATCTGGGAAAAGTGGATAGCACTGTCCTCATTTCACAGATGGTAAGACTGAGGCTCAATGGGATTAAGTAACTTGAAACAGCTGGCAAGTCTCCAGCTGAGAATGGACTCATTCTACCGCACAGCACTTCAGCCTTGAGGCTGCAGAACTGGAGCCGGCTTGGAAACAGACCAGTTGTACTACAAGAAAGGTTACCTTTTATTTTAGCATTCATTTTTGCTTAGAAGTAGCACATATTTGACTTTCTTAATTTGATTAGAAACCCTAAACAAGGACTTATACAGGGTATAAAAAACATGAATTTTAAGCTCAGCCTAAAGGGGGACCAAAATGCCTAAGGTATCATGAAGTCATATTAAAACATGCCCTTAAATTTACAGATGAGCTTTTTAGTGATTTCCCGATACAGTCATTCATTGATGATCTACTGTCTTTTGTTTTCATTTTCTCACTAATTGAAAATTCATAATACCTCATAAAACATCACCATCCATAAACTGACACTTGCAGAAGAAATACCTCCAGTGAGCCAGTTGAAGAAATAGATTCTCTTCCATTTCTCATTACCTCCCCCCTTTATTATTATATTAAATTACCACAGTAGTTGGGATAATTAAATTCAGGGCAAAGAATGGGATTTAATTAACCAAGCTAAATATTAAAACAAAGTCAGCCTGAACTTCACATAGTTGAACTTGAGGGTTCTTATTTTAGTTTTATTTAAAGACAAGTCCCTCTGTTTCTTTTCTGAAGAAAACTGGACAAACTAAGAGCTGCCCCCAGGAATAACAGATCTTCACAAACATGTGTATAGGGTCGAAAACGGTTACTGCTAAACATAAGATAGTTATTACCAACCATTACTACCCCTGATCTTTGAAAGTGTCATTTCAGTGCACTTTAAACAAATAGATACATTATTTGGGAGTATCAGGAGATGGTGGAATCTTACCAGTTCATATAGTTCATTCCCCGGCCTCCAACAGACCTATCCTGACAGTTTCACAAATAGCTGTAGGTGTTTAAATAGATCTTTAAAATATCCATAGAAGGCCATTCTATATACACTCTCTTGGTAACACTTCCCAGCATCAGCATAACTTGTCTGCCTAACATCTAATAAAAAATTCATCTTGCTCTGAGTGTAAGCCTGTTACCTTAAATCTCCAGACAAATGTTATATACTTTCTTGTAGGTGTTTGTGGGAAAGTTTTAGCAAATCACAAGAAAGCAGAGGTTATTACATTTCTTTTAGGTCCTAGGTACGTTATGTTTTACTTGGATGAAAAATTGCATGCCAGGGAAGGCTGAAGGCATTTACTTAGTGTTATTTCTCTCAGACTGATAGGAAGAGTGCAAAAAACATGTGCTTGTGTCTGTAACCATCCTACAGCAGCACCACCAGCATCAAAACAACTTACATCTGATCGCAGAGATCAAAGAGAGACCAAATATTAGTTATAACCGGAAGAGTTTATCAACTTGGGTCCTGTTTAAATTTCTTTCATCAAGATCAGTCATTATTTGCTCACTTATAAATGAAACCTTTAAATCCTAAAGAACAACATTTAAAACTCACAAGGTCTCATAGCGCCCCAGTGCAATCAGTATTTGTGTCTGACTACCTTAACCTTCTCAAAATTTGGCACTTGATTGCCTTTCACCATAGGCGATTCAGGAAACTCTCAGTTGTTCAAATTGTTTTGCCCTTACATTCTGTAGGCACTTAGCATTTGTTCTTTAACAGACATACACATGCAAATACACAGAGGCAAGCATTTGTACAACTGAATAGGAAATGGGATATTTTACTTTCACTTGCAAATTCAAAAATCATACCTAACAAGGCAGCATCAATGGCAAGAGTGTTTTCTAAATGGAAGAGTCATTAAAATCTTAAT